GAGAGTTTCATCGTTCTACCTCGAATATTACGGAAGATACGGGGGTGTTTCCATGAGAAGTGAGACACACTATATATGCCAACATCCTCAGCAACTTCTCTAATAGTGATTTGACTATTCTACACAACAATTTTCTTCACTTTCCCAATATTTTCATCGATTGTTGGTGTTCTAGGACGTCCAAAGCGAGCGTCGCTTGTATCGCTTTTAAACATTTTTTTGGATCAGAGTACAATCACCGTATGTCACTGTCAACATTTTGAGCATTCAATTTAATTTTTTACACAAAACTTGGTGCAGATTCTTTCATTCACTTTTTCCTATAGCAGAAAATAGCCGAACACACAAAACACTTTTAATTTTTATGATATTTTTGTTTAGTTTCGCAGCTATAGGAAACCATTTCAACGGTCGCACTGTATATATATCTACAATGCAATACTAAAAAAAAATTAACCAATTTGAACATGATGTAAAATTAACTTTCAGAAATCTGAAGACTATTAAGAAACGTTTTTCCGACTTAAAGGGCAAAGAAGATATAATCATTAACTCATCCAATGTGGTTTATTCCATCCCTTGTTCTAATTGTGAGAAGATTTACATTGGACGAACGAGTAGAAAATTAAAAGACAAAATCACTTCACACAAGAGTGACATGAGATGCAATAAACCATCTTGCAATCTTTCTGTTTAATCTTCCTCTTCAAGATGATCTCCTGGTGATTGAAACACTTGTCGAGGTGTTAAAAATAACGGTTTGGTATTGAGATACAACTCCAGTTTTGTATCATTGTGTATCACTCAAACTCTCTTCAAACTCAGCATACTCCGTTTCACAATTTTCTGATGTGATATTTAAACCAGAACTGGCAGAAGATTCATGTTCCTTACATACCGCATCGTATATTTCATTAACCGCTTCGATTTATTTATCGAAAACCTCTTGATTCTTTTTAAAATCGTCACTNCGCATGATGTGACGTTCATAACCTGTTGATTGTTTTGTTTTGACCAACATTTGCTTCGTTGATGCGTTAATGACAATGCCCCAAACTGGTTCAATCCCGGCAAGACCTCCTGTGTCTGGTGTTTCTTTGGCAAGTTCGATCACACTGGAAATCGTTTAGTGCGGTTTGAATCGGTAATGTACATTAATCAAACCTTAACGAACAAGTCACTCCGTGGAGGGGGATAGAACGTAGACTAGATAGTAGTTTCAACTCGATTTCGTATAAAATATTATTTGAACTATCACTAGAAACCAATTATGTAAATACTAAGACCGAACGTAGACCGGATAGTAGTTTCGGCTCCAATCTATAAAAATATCTGTATTAATAAAAACATTCTTATCTTTCTTAGATGAAAATTCGGAAAATTACCAGAAGAATTACTTTCTCATTTTCCGATTTTTCACAAAAACTGTCGGGATCTGGAACTCGTGTAACTTTATAACTGCCATGAATTTCGAAACAATATCTCAACTCGTTCTTGAGAAAATTGGAAAAATAAATTGAAACGACGGACGGATGACAGAATTTAAAAAATATTTCTCGATGCTGATCATTTCTTCCAAAGCAACCACGTCTCTATCTTTTCGAATAAAAAGTTGGGTTCAGCTGAGTATACTTTCCTAAAGGTCGTATTCTATTAGATGAATACTTATTCAGTTCAATAGAAATAACCGTCATTTGAATCGATAACCTTTGCCAGTAACACGAGTCGATTAATTCCGTCAACATGAAAGTTGTGTGCTAGGGATTCGATGAAGTCGACGAAGAGCATTGGCCTAATCGGCCAAGGTTTCACCTGTGAGAAAGTTATCACAATGCTTGAAAGTATGGTAAAATAAAAAAATGAACATCATCAATGTATAGAGTACAAAATCGATCAGTGTATACTATGACACAGTAGAATAAATATTCGTCGAGAGATGGATCTACAAATACACATGATATTAAAACGAACAAAACTTTAGATACAACCTAATAATGAGCGATTTTTTTGCTGGTATATTTTTGGCAACACTGTTTTTGACAGATCACGCGTGAATCGTGTCTTGTGTCATTGTCAAACTTATTCAGTTTGGTCTATAATTTAACCATGAATCGACTTACGAATGAACAACGCTTGCAAATTATTGAACTTTAATATCAAAATTCATGCTCGGTGAAGAAAGTGCATCGTGCACTTCTTCTAATTTATGGGCAGTTTCGTGGGCATTGTGAGGGAGCTATTCGGAAGCTTGTGACTAAATTTTGAACCCAGTTTACATTATTGGATATTAAACTACCAACACGCATACGTAGAGTGAGGACCGAAGAAAATATTGCGGTTGTATCCGCCAGTGTTCGTGATGACCGTGGAATGTCGATTCGCCGCCGTTCGCAACAAGTGGGCCTCTGTTACTCCACTACGTGGAAAATTTTGCGAAAGGATTTGGGTGTAAAACCTTATAAGATACAGCTGGTTCAAGAATTGAAGCCACACGACCTCCCACAACGTCTAACATTTGGTGAGTGTGCGCTGGTGAAGTTGGAGGAAGATCCTCATTTTTACCGAAAAATTATGTTCAGCGACGACGCTTATTTCTGGTTGAATGGATACGTTAACAAGCAAAATTGCCGCATCTGGAGTGAAGACCAGCCACAAGCATTGCAAGAGATACCGATGCATCTCGAAAAAGTCACTGTTTGGTGTGGATTATGGGTCGGTGGCATCATCGGGCCGTACTTCTTCAAAGACGACAATGGCCGGAACGTTATTGTGAGTGGCGAGCACTACCGTGTGATGATTGACGACTTTTTGTTGCCCAAAATGGAAGGATTAGACATGACTGACATGTGGTTTCAACAAGACGGTGCCACATGCCACACGGCACGCGAAACAATGTTCCAATTAAGAGTCGCCTTCGGTGAACAGTTCATCTCATGTTTGGGGCCCTTCAACTGGCCGCCCAGATCGTGTGACTTACGTCTTTGGATTATTTCTTGTGGGGTCATGTTAAGGCTCATGTCTACAGGGGTAAACCAGTAATGACTGTCGCTCTGGAAGCCAATATTGAAGCATTTATACCTGAAATACCGGTCGATATGGTAGAGAGAGTGTGCCAAAATTGGACCTTGCGCATGGGCCATCTAAAGCGGAGCCGAGGACAACATTTGCATGAAATCATCTTCAAACATTAAATTATATCGATCGTTCTATCGATTCCAAGAAAGATTTCATCAAATTTTTCAAATTTTTTGTGTTGTTTTGAAAATTAAATCCTATACCTCTAAAAAAATCACCAGGTCAAGAGTCATTTCAATTTTTCGAACATTTTTATAATTTTTAACACATTGAAAGCTCTTCTTTTTTGTAATAGAAGATCTTCGCCAACGAATTACAGCAGAGTGCAGAAGTATAACACCTGATATGCTACAGAATGTTAGGAATAGATTTGAACAAAATCTGTATTATTGTATGGAAGCATTCTTCATACTTCAGCATTTGCTGAAGTAGAATTCTACTAAGTCAATTACACATTTCAAAGTACTGGATTGTAGTTGTTTTTCTTCATAATACCTACATGTTTGAGTGAAATACAACAAAAAAGTATCATTGGAAAGAGAATGTTGTGCCCTTTCAAATGATATATCACTCGACCCCACTTTCCATTTAAAATTGTAGGGTTGTTACTCACCCTCGCTAGGGGGTTGAAGGCACAGGTTGAAAAATACATCTAAAATGTGTCCCCCTCAAAAGCAAAATTGGCCTGCCCGAGCATTTTTGCGTTAAGTTACAAAAAAAGGAGAAAAGCAAGGTGCATACTTTTCGTTGGACCACTCGATATAGATCTTGCTGTAAGTAACTTTGAAATATTTAGCAAAAAAATTTGTGAAATATCGGACTCTTTCGACAAGTATATATTTTTAAGAGGTGCTTATATGTTTCAAATAGTTTTCATGTGAAAAATCACTAAAAATGGCACCTTACGTACATTTTTTCATCGTCCATAAGTTATAGGGAATAGTTTTCACGACTTCATTATTGTTTAAATTAGAGTTATGTCTTCCACAATTCGTCATAATTGATCGCTGAATTTATGCAGAAATGAAACATTTTTTTTTTAATTTAGTCATTGATTAGAACCATAAAAATTGTTGTCTAGATAGGACTGCCTATTTGTTTAAGAATAGAACAAAATCTGTGTTAATACGAGTTTGCGGCTTAAAAATATCCTGCTTATTTTTATACGCATTGTCACTCAGGCAGAGAAAAAAGGACAAGCTCCGTGAAATATATGGCATGGATTCGGTTGTTTAATTCAGCCGATTTCGCTATGCAAATTATTCTCAATCTCATCAACTTAAATAATTGCTGCATTATCTTAGATCAGTTTTTGTCAAATTTTTATTATTATTGACAGATTTTTTGGTAATTACCATTTTTTCATCATTTTTCACTTATACCTGTGTCCAAGATAAGAATGAACAGCATGAGGATATCGGAAACGGTACGTGACACGGGGTCGATTGAATTAGAGAAAAGTAGCGCATGTATGTGCCTAATAATATGCCATTCAGAAAGGTTTAATATTCCGAGTAGTTTTGGAGATATCTGAGAAAAACTGAAACTTGAAAATTTCTCCTAGCTTTATTTTCAAAGGAAAAGTACAACAAATAGCACTTTGCCATGGCCACTTTTTAAGGACTACAAAAACGTAAGCAGAATTTTTCTGCGATGTTTATTTAGTCTTTTGGAAAATCATCAACTTTGTATTTTTATATGGGCCGAAACTAAAGTATACCCTGTATACGACTCCATTTTTCATTGTGAATACAGCAACGCATCACACAATATACTACAAAAACATATGACACTAAAACGGACAAAACTTTCTAAACAACCTAATAATGAGAACAAAACGGGACCCAAGGCGGAACCCTAAAAATCATTATCGAAATCTGTTATTTCCAAAATACGAGTTTAACCATGTTTTTTATTTCAGGTCATTCAGATTCAACAACCAATGGGGACATGCCTGAGATGGGCAATGAAGAAGAGATACCGCAATTCCATCTAGAGTTCTTTGACGATATCCACCAAGCCAACATGCTGAAGTCCCTGAACATGATGAGAAAAAACCGCCACTTTTGCGATGTCATTCTTCATGTATGTTCCTGGCTGTACGAAGAACATATTTCACAGTTTCAAATAATCACGGATCAAAAATACGGCTTTTTCTTTGAGAATCAAAAATACACTTGAAATGAGTTGGGCTGAACGATATAACTCCAATTACGAAAATTAATAATTTTGGAACTGCCTACCGATAAATATGTGCAATTATTTGCAACTGTCAAATTGTTATTACATACAGTCAGTTACACTACTGGGCAGCTCTCAAAATCTTCAAATTTCAAATTAAAATGGCCAGTAGTGAGTAGTTTTTAAGTAACTCAAAAAGTAGTCTTAGTATTAACACCACGAAAAACATTTTGCATAGATAAAAATCGAGCGTTTATCGATGCAAGTGTTAAAATCGCGTTTCTCTTACAGAAAGAGTGTTTTAGACCGGGTATTAGGTAAAAATTTTCCATATTATTATATCGTTCTTTTCGCAAAGGACGTTTTAATTTTTTCTGTTTTACAGAACCTTACGTGATGTTAGGGTGATGGTAATCAATTTTTTTTATTATTTTTATTTTGCAAATTCACTACGTTGCTGGGAGTTGTTTTCATACGAATTTTCCTCAAGTCTGGAACGAATTTTTCATTGTTATTTTCATTACTAGGTCGGCAATGGTGAAATCCATGCCCATCGTTCTGTGTTGGCAAGTGCGTCTCCTTATCTTTTTGAACTCTTCACCACGGATCAAGATCAGAAACGACCTGAGAACGTCGTCACTTACAAACTGAACGGCGGCTTCGATCAGACCTCTCTACAAATCCTGATCGACTATGTGTATACTGCAAAACTGGAAGTTCACTACAGAGATGTGAGTATTATTTCGATCAATGTTCATTCAGGTAGTGTTATAGGTTACAGTCCAATCATTGAAAATGATTGCATGATACTGTATAATTTTGCCGTACAGAACCTATTTGCTCAGTATCTGTACCCGAGAATACCTATCACAGAGAAGCGACATTAACGTCGGATCCTTTGATGCTCGGTGTCCCAACTCCGAACCGAAGATTTTGAGTGATAAACAACCTGGTTCACTGAGAAAAATGACCTCTCAGCGATATACACTAATAAAAATACATACTCTTACGTTACTATTATCCAACATCTGTTCGATCACGTTGTCTCCGGACAGAACATTTCTGATCTCCATTTCCACGCCACGCGTGATCGTTGTCTCGCCCACCTGTCACACCTTAGCACAGTGTGCTCTGCTGTATCCTCTTCCCCACAGTACAAACACTCGTTGTCTTGGGTCTTTTTTATTCTGAAAGTATACGCCCTGAATGAAACATGCCCGCTCAGGAACTGTGTGAAGAAGTAGTCAACTTGCCTAAATTGACATCCTACCCAGGTGGCAATATCTGGGATCAGCCTCTTGGTCCATTGGGCGACAGTGGTGTTTTCCTCCCATCTCTGTTGCCACTTGGTGATTCTTTCTTCTCTGGCCGGTGAATTTTCCTCCCTCAGTCGATATGAATGAGCCCTTTCTTCAATCAGCAGGTCAATAGGAACTGTCCCTGTGATCGCATACAGGGTCTTGTTGGACGTTGTTCTATGTGAACTGGCGACTCGTAGTAACATGCGTCTCTGCAGGCTATTCAGCATGTTCTTATACTTTTGCAGTATCAGTGCTTCATGCCATATGGGGGCCCTGTATGCTAGTATGGATCGCCCCACCCCATTTAAGAGTGCTCCTTTGTTACTTCCCATATCGCTCGTGTTTGGAATTATCCTGCACAGTGTTGATACCGATTTCTCTGCTTTCATGACAGTCTTGAAAATATGTTGTCCGGACCTGAGCCTGTCATCAATAAAGACTCCCAGGTACTTGCCACATCTCTGAGGAGATACCACCATTCCGCCACACTCGAAAACGACATCGTTTCTTTTCCTGGGGCCATTGATTATTACCGCTTCTGTTTTCTCTGTGGTCAGCGTTAGGGCGTTCTAGTATACACTGTGAAATATAAAATTATAGTGTGAAGGGAATCTTACTCCATTCAATTTTTATATTGCTAATTGAACAACTTTCGCAGTAATGATAGAGAATATTCAATTATGTTGCCAATTTATTATTATTTATGATGAATTGACTTTTAAGAAATAAATTAAATTACTCTATTTTGTAAATCCAATTCATTAGATAGAAAATTAAAATAAAGTTACGATAATAGAATAATGCTTTTATTTTATAATCATTTTATATCCTCTGAAATAAATAAGTCCACTAAGGATGAATAAAAGTGACTTTTGTTATTTTATGTAATCTTAACTTAAACTTTCATTAACAACATCAATACAATCTGAGGGTTCTAATTAAGTAAGGTTTCGAAAGAAAAAATAATGAAACAAGATATTTTACCAAAACCTCTCAATTTAAAAATGTGACACTCCCCCAGTAGAAATTTCTGTAAATCGATTGTTAAATAAACATTCCAACTGACATATAAAATTAATTAATTCATCTGGTGGTGAGCGCAAATTTCCAAACATGTTTTTTCCGTAGTATAAGCTTTAAAATAGTTTAACAGGCAATTTACATCCAAAGTCCTGCACTTCGTGCTGAAAGAGTGACACACATACCATGTATGAACTTGAAGAGCTTTTTTTAAAATGTATCCATCCACAAACGTAAATGAATGAATTCTGAGTACATATATCTTCATTTTTATAATCATAATCCGGATGGGCAAGGGCTGGAGAAAAGTGATTCTCATCTGATATAAATATATCATTTACGTATGTGGATTGTATACTGATTAATAAATCATCTAAATCATTCTTACAATTCATATGATTGGAATGAAAATAATTTTGGCAAAACAACTTCCGGAATGCCCTTTGAAATTGTATGGGGGTCGGATTAACATTAATTCCGCATTGTTGTCTTACAGCACCAAAAAATGTTCAAGACAATCTGAATTGAGTCGTCTCGTTTTTGAATATTTATAAGATTTGGTGCGAATCTATAAAATTGCCCTATGTCTTGCTCATAAAAAGAGCGCACAAAAGACCAAGATGTTCTTTTGCCTTCAAAATGAAATGAATGTTTTAAAAAATTGTTTCTAGTGGCTTTTATCGAATGACATGGATCAAAAATATAAACAAGTATTTTACCACCGAGCTCAAATTCAGATTCTTCTGAAGTGACCCCTAATAACTTTGACAATTCATAAAAGTTAGAGCCCATGTCATTCACAATGCCATCAACATGCAGACCTATATTGGATAATTCAGAAATGCACTTATCCAAAGAATCACGTAGATTTTTTGCTGGTAGTAATGGTAGGTAATAACGAGAACATTTCTACGTATGGAATTCCTCTTATTTGCCTCTCCAATATCTTCGAAACCAATAATTTCATCACATCCTGTATCAAAAAGAAGATTGGATTTTAAAGCCATCTCATTTATAGATATCACACATCGCTTATGCTGTTCGAGAATTGTTTTAATTTTAATTTCAAGTGCCTTAAATATTGCTGAATTTTCTACTGTTTCTCTCACGATGGATTCTTCAAAACTAATTATCTCCTGAAAACTCTTGTTTAAATAGCATAATTTTAATGTATACCGCGTAAGGTAGGTACCTTTTGGGTCTAACTACCTATTTCATTATGTTTGCTCAATGCTCACAGGCTAATAGAGACAACTAAGCCCGAGAATGACGTGGAGACAACCAAGTCGACGCATGCGTTTACGAAAAAGGGACATAAAATGGCCGTCTTTGTCGCTTCTCTGTGGTAGGTATTCTCGGTCTGTACTTCAAAATTGACTCGTAACCAACGTAGCTTTTACCCTGAAGATGGATGCTACTCCTTATCTCAGGGGTAAGTCCGGAGATAGAGAGATTGACTAATTCAAAGAAACTTTTGTTCTATAAAGTTTTTTATAGTAGTCATTACGTTTCGACTTATTGACGAGTGAAAATGTTAATTTTTCAACCCTTGTTTTCAGTCGGTTTTTCGCGAGTAACTCAACAAGTGAGTATTTTATCGAAAAAATCATTCGAAGTAAAAATTCAGCTCAGAGAAACAAAAATATAGGATATTCACGTTAAGAAGAGAATGACGTCACAAGATGACAAGTTATGGCGTTTCCAACATGTAGACTATTTCGAACTCTCAAATTTGTTTGTACTGCTGATTTGTTTTATTGCTATTAACCTTACTTATTATTAATTTACTTAGTTGAAATTCAACTTTGTTTTGACTGTTTCGACAATGTTTTAGGCATGTTGAATATACGCAGGTCTCATCAAAAGAAATTATTAGTTCTGAAAAGAAAAGAAAGACTGACAGGTTCGAGTTTTTTTCAATTCGGCTACGTGTGAAATTTTACTATCAGTAAAAATTTTACTAGTTTCATTGCTATTGAACGCATTTCGTTGGGGATTTTAAAGTTGTTATGTTGGATATACAAAACTACCAAAAATGACGTCTTTCTCTTAACGTGAATGTCCTATAGTGGTGGTGTAGATACAATACAAACTAAGTAAAATAGGGCCTTCCAACATGGACTTCCGAATTTTGACAATTGATAACGGTCATCTTGACATATGTTGTCATTAATTCAAACTCATTAATACTGTTCATTGTATGATTTTTACTATAAAGGGTTTTACAAAAACCGCGACATCTGAAAATCATACACTGAACTGCATTAATGAGTTTTAATATGGATTTTCATCAAGAATCGGCCAGTTGTATTCAGTCATTTATTCAGTATGTTTTGTCAAATTACTATGGACGTGCAAATGATTGAATTGTTTTGACTGAATGGGTGTTCTGTTCGGGTAACGTAACGCACAATTCGCCCATTCTACGATCACCATAATCGTCCTACAGAGAGGATTATTCGCAATATGGTGGATAAATTTGAGTCAACTGATTCAGTCAACGATCGACCAATACCCATACGTTGACGAAACGCAAAATCTGCCGAAAACGTGGCCGCTGACTGCGAGAGTGTGCAGGAGAATCCGAGGCAGTCGATTTCGCGTGTCTCATAAGAAGTCTGCCTTTCGCAGACCACAACTTTGAGAATTTTGCGTCGTGACTTGGACCATAGTTATGGAAAATTCGACGTTTCGGATATGTTCCACACAGAGAAGCCGTGGCGGACGTTTGAACGATGTTATATTCCACACATAAAGGCATCAATAGGTCTTCCAAACGAATACAAAATTTTGATATCTCACACACACACTTTGTTGTATTTAAAAATAGGGAGCGCTTAATGAAACACCCTACATATTTCAATCCCTTCTAAATCATGCCCTAAAGAAAATAACGCCTGCCGTCACTGGTAGCCATAAACCAATTGTGACGTAGTTAAGAGCGATCGAATGTTCGATGTTCGCTGCCGTACTAGATGTTGCGAAAATAATGCGCTATCGGCTTCCATGGAATTCCGAGGAATGTTCCAGTGCCTTCGATTGCCAAATATAAGCGCCATATTACTCGTCCATCGAGACAGTCAAGTGGACGTGGCAGTGCTGTACCCGGAGCGATCTAATAAGGCGATAGACATTTGAATAATAGTTGAAGTTTCAATTGAAGTGTTTTCTTATAATAAAAGTGGAATAAAGATAAGTTTGATTATTGTTCAGTGTACTCAGTTACGTAAACCCGCGGAGAAAAACGTAACATTTGGTGTAGGAAGTAGAATAATTGACTAAAGTGTTTCTGTTTTATGGTGAAAACAAGGAGTATCGATTAGTATTAGATGGAAAAGCTTGAGAAAATGTTTTAGGCTTTGCAAGCGAGCCTGGCGGAGAATGAAAAACACAGAAGAGAGGAAGATGAACGAAGAAGGGAGGAAGAACGATTACGCCGAAATGAAGACCGTGAATTAATACTTAATATTCTGTAATAACAAGAAAGAAACATAGAAGAATATCGTAAATTATTGGTAAATATTGAGAAGAAACAAAAAAAAGACAGTAAGCGGTGCTTCCATTTATTTGAAGATTTAAAATCTTCCCAAATGAGTAAAGGAGAGGTACAGGAATTGATTCACGAAGAATTTGGAAAATTATTTCAAGAAACAAACAAGGGGTTGGAAAAAGTCGATGAGAAGCTTGAGGGGTCTGAAAGGAAACTTGAAGAGAAGCTTGAAGGAGTCGGAAAAAAAATTTAAGGGCGTGGAAAAAAGCTTGAGAGAGTCTACAAAAAGTTTGAAGAGTTTTTCTGGAAACTTCGGAAAGAAAAGAGTCACGGAAACGCAAATAGCCTCTCAAGAAGACCACAAGAACCACCAATCAATTCCACATTTCTAGGACAAGAACAAAGCAATCTATGAAATCGTTGTTTTTCAGAGGTATGGTAACCACATTCATGTGGTATGGTAACCACATTAAAGATGCTGTTACTTTATATTAATTCAAGGCTCAGTTGAAAATATATATTACATCACGTACTCTATGAATTTTCGGATTTTTTTTTAATTTTTATGTTTCACATCATCGAATTGTTTTATTGGTTCGAGCTTTTATGTGTTACATTGTGATATGTTAAATATTTCATTACCTTCCCACTCGAATAATTGTTTTTATACCCTAGTATAATTGTAATATGGAACTAACTATTCCGAATACTCCTAATTTGTTCTGTGTTATGGGACAATATTCTCAGGAACACATTTCTATTTATTTTTTTGTATCAGATGGAGTAGTAGAAAGCCAAAAACTTTCTTTCCCAAAAAAGGATTTCCTATTTTCAAATTAAGAAAAAAAAAGCTTGACAGCCGGATGCTAATTTTATCAACGCTAGGATAATAGAAGAAGAACTTTCCGCCAGATGTGATGAAGTAGTGGGCAGAGACTCCTTTATGGATAGCTCTGATAGGAAGATAAACTTCCCTGCCTCCCGCCGCTTCGGGTTCCCTTTGACCCGGAAGGTATCAACCTGTGTCCAGGAATATGGACAGACAATTTGAGGAATCACCTGACCATGGTGTGGTACGGTCGTTAACAGCTTCTGAGGATGACACTACCTTCTTGATGAGGCAAGACATCATGGCAGCGCAGAAGGAGGATCAGGTCTCGAAAACTGCACACTACCCCCTCAGGAAAGGGGGTAGTGTATAGCGAAACTTCAAATTTGTACTGTAATGCAATTTCAAAACTCGTCCAAATGGATAAAAAATAGACCACATAAAATGTAATCATGAGACGCTTTATTTCCTGGTCACACATCATCAAATGATTTTAAATAATAGATGCAATCTCAAGATAATTATCCGAAAATGAATTTTAGAAATGTTGATATTTATCCAAGTGTGCAGTATGTTTTGTTAATAATGAAATTGTTTCTGTCGAATTAATCTCTTTTATGAGCCTTATAATCTGTTTTAGTATCCATAAATACAACTGATTCTGTATATGTTTTGATGCAACTAAATAATGTATCTGTAAACAGCGGAGCGATATAATTTCTAAATTTATCTTGCAGTACCTACTCAACTAAATGACGTTTCCCGTTCAAGTAGATATTGATGAAGTGTATATTCACACCTACATAGAAAATTGTCATGTATTTAGGTTAAATAATTGGAAAGTAATTTGCAATTAGTTGAACCACTTACGTTGTCGAATATTCATCGTCATTATTTTTATATTATTCATGAATGTACTACTCTGTTCAGAAAGTAAGGTGAACTTTCTTCATTTTTTTTTAATCTCATGCACTTTTTGGTATGTCCTTTAGCTTTCAGCAATTGGGCTTTTGTCTCCTCAATCGTTGCAAAACGCCGTACTTTCATGAGTCTCTTCAATCTTGGGAACAGGAAAAAGTCGCATGGGGACAAATCTGGTGAATACCGTGGCTGAGGCATCATTACGATATTGTTTTTGGTAAAAAAATTATGAACAAACAATGACAAGTGAGCAGGTGTATTATCATTTTCAACGGTTGTTGATCTGCTGGGGTGTCCAGGGCGAGCGTCATCATTCACTTCTTCTCGACCTTCTGTGAAAAGCTTGAACCATTTGTCAACATTTTTTTTCACTCAGAGTACAATCAACGTATGCCATTGTCAACATTTCACCTGAGCACTTATTCTATTTTTTACACAAAACTGAATGCAGAAGATTCTTGATCCATTTTTTCGGTAGCAGAAATTCGCCGAACACGCAAAACATTTTATGACTCACCAAAAGACTAAATATGCTAAACACATATTCGAGACGAATATGCTGGTACATATTCGCTTACGTAGCACGGGAAATTTTAACATTTACCTTATTTTTTTAACAACCCACGTACATTCATTGAACGAGTCACATTGAGTTGTGGTACATGCTATTACATTAACTCGGCAGCGATAAAAGGTAGAATCCCAGCAACCAGAACTGCAACGCTTTTCTCGACGCGCGTTTTGCCAACCAAGTTGGCATCTTCAGGAGATGANTCAGACACGCATCAGTGAGTTCAGGTAGAACAGAAAAACAGATTTGACAGAAATTCGCAGGAAATTTTCTCTTGTATGTTTCCACTAATTTTAATAGAGTGATACATTCAAAGGTAACCGATGGGCTGTTTGAAGCGGAATCTTCGTCACTGTTCGTAGTTCTCATGCCACATTTTGTTGTTTCTAGATTTTCGGAAGAATCCAATAATTTAATGTCATGAACCGATCTCAACGATTTCAGACAGTTGTCAGTTATTATATGGCCGTTCTTCAATGCGCGGTGAGCGACTCTAGATTTCTGTAGTCTTCGCAATTGAATGTATGCTGCGTGTTCCTTGAAACGTGTTTTAAATAGCTCGCCGAGTCTGACCGATGTATTTTTCGTCACTGCCCTCAGAGCTCATTTCTTTTATCCAAGACTTTTCTAACATCTTGTCTTTAGAGTTTATAACATTTGTTGAGGTGAGAAAGAAGTTTGGAAGGATGCTTCCACGCTCAACTTTTCAAAAATGCGATCTAATCCGTTAGAAAATTAATTTGGAGCTGAGATAGATTATTTAAATCATTGTTGGTTATCTGTTTCATATCAATTAGTACCATTTTTGAACATTCTGGAATTTTACTGTATTCAAAAAGTATTTTTGAAGTGTTTTTTTCAAATCTACTAAATTTATCGTCAATACTGATAGATCCTTCCCCAATGTATTTAGGTCCTCACAGCATTTGGTTATTCATAATTGGGACCACAACACTTATTATATAGTTATATATTTTACCAGCATCATCTGCTGGAGAAGATATCTGATATAGCAGAGTATTAAATGAAACATACTGGTTTGAAAGGTATGTTTTTTTTTTCACATTGAAGACATTGTTTTTTTTTTGTTTAGATCAAAGCTGTTTTAGTAGCAGCCAACAATCTGAAGATGGAGAGAGTTACAAGAGTATGTGCCCAGCATTTGATCAAACATCTGTCAGTTGATAATTGCATAGAGATTCGGTCTTTGCCGGGAATTGCCAGAAACAAGGAGTTCATCCAGCAGGTCGACAATTTTATTGCAAAAGAGGTACGAAGTAACTAAATTCATTTTCAAAAATGTTGTTAAATCTTATATCAACATGATTTTTTTGTCCCGATTTCTTGAGTAGTTGAAGTAAATGTTGAAGTAGCTTTGACAGTTAATATGCAATTTATATTATTATAGTCTATTTCAAAAGAGTGTAGAGTAATAAATCCTCATTAAGTATTCAAAAGCGCTACAGGGTGATCCGTCAATAAATTCTGTCACTTCCCTAGTCCGCATTGCAAAATTATGTCGTTTCATAAAGAGCAGGTAGGTATCACCCTGTTTTAAGGGATTTGTCCATTGTTATCGACGGATAAATACTGAGCCAGAGGCGCGCTAGTGGGATAATTGCCAAAAGAATATGCATTCATAAAAATTATATTAAAGGAAATAAAAATTTAATACAGCAGAACAGTGTTATTAAAAAAATATAAAATGTAACAATAAAATATATACGAACCGAAATCGGGAAATACTCACAAACACACACGAACGAACTTTACGTATTGAAACACTTGTGGGGACTTTAAATCAATTTATTCACAAAAACGACAAGAACTTTACTGGATACGTTATTACAATTTGACACTTGAACAATACTAAAACTGTGAAC